TGGAGACACTACAAGATATGGCTCCCAACCGATGGCAGTGACATTCTTGTTGCCAGTTTCTATCCAGATTGCCTGAGTTAATGTCTGGAGGTGTAGGCACCTCGGAATGATTGTGTTAAGCTAGCACTAAGTCCCTCCCCCATTCACCTTTATTCTTTTCTTTACAATAAGGCTTTCAAATAAGTCATGGTTGTACGGCAGTGAAGCATCGGTGTTGAACACCGATGATGACGTAAGAGGCTTATATGTAGGAAAGATCTCATGGATTTAGCAAGTTAATTTGTTTACTGTTAAAAGGCAGCGGGTTGCATAAGGTGTGTTGTTCGGATAACTGACAATCAAGTGACCCAGTAATGTTTGCTGGTATAGTGGGAACACGTTGCGGAGGAAGATTGATGGACAAAGAACTGTGTGGGAAATTGATGCTTCTCAGTTACGCAGACTAAAAGAGGGGATTTGACTCAAAAGTCTGACCCACGAGGCAGCGTGAAGTGAGGTTTTTTGGGGACCCTTCCCTTGCCGATGACTCAATAGTCTAATCTGCTAGGCTGCATGGGGCTGGCTTAACCCGAAGATGCAGGAAGTAAGGTATGACTGCCTGACTCCTAATGCAGTTACATGCAGTAGGTGCCTTTTGAGTAGCACCAGGCTCTTCGCAAGTATTTCGGCCGTATTAAATGATGCCCGGACGATCACGATCAGTCGTTTAGCGATCGGAGGGTTCGTTTTTTTCAAGATTAACCTTTTCCAACCCGTCCTTCTCGGGGGAAGGCAGCATCGCTGCTTCCATAAATATGGACATGGAAGGCGCGTGGGGGATACTCACTAATGCCTTCATACTTCCATCACAGAGCGGAACGACTTTACTCCGAGATCGCCTCGTAGTACGAGCTCTCGCTGCACTTGTTCTGACTGCTCTCCTTCGGTCTTCCTGGCATGATTGCAACTTTTGGAACGAAGTTCCAGACACTGTAACCTGTGGAATCATTGCGGCACTCAAGCCAGACCACTACGTCAAGGTAGCAGCTTGAGGTGGGAAAAATCTTCTGTTTCCTTGACCGGCTCATCCGCAGGCATGAGGTTCGGCTTGAGGATTCTTCTCTAAAACAGTAGTCAGTTTGATAAGTGTCAGGGCGCGCCCAGACAGAAGAAAAAGTACATGCGCAGAGAGTGACGCATCCCCAAGGTTACCATCGGTACGACACGTCCAGAAAGTAGGTGAGTGGCGGCTCCCACGAAACACGGCTCTCACCAAACGGCTTAGCAACACATGACCAGCGTAGTGGGCCTGAGAATGTTCACGACCGGAACACCACCATTGGCTGTGCAGAGCGAACAAGTGAACGACCATATTTGGCCATGTAGTCATCCTATATATTTACGCAGACGCTCTGTACCTTTTGTCCTGGCAATACAGCCGTGTCCCCCAGTTCCCTGTCTTCTCCCTATCGCGTAGTCTGGCGGGTTCAGTGCAGGCGTAACCAATAGCTCGGCCACCGCACAACACAACACTGGCAGACGGGTGTTTACAATGGCAATTTCACTCGAACAGATGCAGTCTCTCCTCAGATAGCAGCAGCAACAGTTTGAGCTGGCGCAGTTGAAGCTCATGGAAACACTCACTGAAAAATTGTCACTTCAGAAGCCGATTAGGCAGACTGTTGAGCCGTCCACTTCGGTGATCGACACGATCCTCAACGCGATCCCTGAATTCCAGTTCGATCCGATCTCATGCATTACTTTTGATTCTTGGTTCAACAAGCATGAAGACTTTTTCAGATTGGATCTGGGAAGCAGAGAAGATTCTTGGAGAGCAAGACAGTTGGTCAGGAAAATTGGAGTGGCCGAACATGAACGCTTTTCGAACTACATTTTGCCACGAAAACCAAGTGAGCTGACTTTCGATGAAACCGTTGCTGTTTTATCGTCAATCTTCGGAGAACAGGCTTCCTTGTTCAGCCGTCGATTTCACTGTATGAATTTGAGCAAGAATGCTTCTGAAAACTGGGTTACATACGCGGGCAAAGTCAACAAGGAGTGTGAACGTTTCAACCTCCGAAGCATGACAGAGGATGAGTTCAAGTGTCTTATATTTGTGTGCGGGTTGACGTCTCCTGAAGACGCAGACATAAGAACAAGAATCCTCAGCAAGATTGAACAAAACCCAGACGTCACATTACAGAATATTACGTCGGAATGCCAGCGCCTGATGAATCTGAAGCATGATACCGTCATGATACAAGAAAGTGGTCCCAGCAATACTGTTCATGCGATTCAGAAGCATACTGTCCCTCAGGGTGACAAGAAACCACCCCCGGCATGCTGAAAATGTGGTGAGTGGCATTTCGTCAATTTTTGTTCGTTCAGAAGACACCGCTGCAGCAGGTGCTCCCGTATTGGACTCAAGGAAGATCGATGTCATGGCGAGAGAAGGCAAGCACCCAAGAGGCATTCTCGAACTAGAACTTCCAATTCTAAGCTTCCGAAGGCTCGCGTTGGTCTGGCCGCTCATCAACGCCCACAGGTGAACAGGAGGAAATACGTATCACTACGTATTAACAGCACACCTGTTCGTCTCCAGCTGGACACGGCATCAGACATTACGATCATTTCAAAAAGAACTTGGAAATTTCTTGGCAGCCCAGCATTAACCAGGACCAAACAAGTTGCACGCAGTGCATCTGGAAGTTTACTGAAACTCTGTGGTGAGTTAAGCTGTTCTGTTACTTTTGACGATATCACCGTTAGTGGCATCTGTCATGTTTCCGGTCATCCTGGTTTGGATTTGTTACGATTAGATTGGATTGACAAGCTAAATCTTTTGGACAGGCCACTCAATAGTATATGCTACAAAACACAGGCGACAAGACCGAATATGATTCAGAAACTGCCTGACTCTTTTTGGAAGAAGCATTCGAGCGTGTTTGCTAATGGCCTCGGTCTGTGCACTAAATTCTCCGCTGTTCTAACGTTAAAGCCAGGATCACAACCTGTTTTTCAGCCAAAACGCCCGATCCCCTATGCAGCAATGACTCTTGTAGAACAAGAATTGAATAGGCTTCAAGCAGCTGGTGTAATCGAGCCGGTTAATTACTCATCTTGGGCGGTGCCCATTGTCGTCGTTCGAAAGGCAAACGGGTCCATTCGGCTGTGTGCTGATTTCTCAACAGGGTTAAATGCTGCTCTGGAGACACATCAGTACCCTCTACCAGTACCTGAAGGCTTGTTTGCGAAACTAAACGGTGGCAAATGCTTCGCAAAGCTTGATTTGGCAGGTGCCTACCTGCAAGTTCCAGCATGTTGAAATGAAATTCAATAAACATGTCAGCAGTTCTCGAAGGAAAGCCAGACAGCGTTATTTCAACGCCCCTTCGCACATCCGCCGTCGGTTAATGAGCGCTCCCCTCTCAAAAGAGCTAAGGTCAAAGTACGAGGTCAGCAGTATGCCCATCCGCAAAGGCGATGAGGTTCAAATCGTTCTTGGGAGCCGCCACTCACCTACTTTCCGGACGTGTCGTACCGATGGTAACCTTGGGGATGCGTCACTCTCTGCACATGTACTTTTCCTTCTGCCTGGGCGCGCCCTGACTGTAAGTGACTCCCAGCTTCCAATAATCTCGTCTGCGGGTCTTGGGTTTATCAAACCTCAACGTGTCTTTCGCAGCAGCAGGTTTTTTACAACGCGATAACAGCTACTCCGCAAGGTGCATTCTCTTCCAAACAAAGTGTTGTTTTGAGTAATTTTCGAGATCGTCATACTTTTATAATCACATGAGTGAAAGGTTACCACGACGTTTTAATGTTTGACAAAACTACAACCGGAAACCAGTAGAGCTATCAGTAGAGGAAAAGTGAACTGGTTCACGAGGAACGACATTTGTTAGATAATCCCATGGCAACCTATTGTATGGACGACCAAGGCTCTCTTGGTTCGATTGGTAGAAAGCGTATGGGGGCTTGGCTGGCGCTAGCCGAATGCGAGCGTTTTAACATGTACGCTTATTTTAGGGAGTGGGAACTAATTTTATCGCTTGTTCTTTTTAATGTATACCTTCCGTGGGAGACGTATCTAATCATCAGAATGTCAGGTTTACGGGCTAGGTGTGACTTCACACCCTTGGTTCCGTTCGCAGAAAGCACACTCTCCAGCCCTGGCTTCTGATGCAAGCATTCGGTATCGAAGGAGGGTAGTTACCACCGCACCGGTTTGTTACTTACGACTTTGGAACATTACTTGGGTTGGTGAAAAGTGTACTACTTACTCAGCATCCTTAATACGCCTGTGGATAATTCAGGCAACATATGACCTTGTTCACATTGCTCAATTAAGACGCTTTTTGGTTCTTGGAGAGAGTGAGAGGGATTTAACAGAATGGAGCCGGATGACCTAATCAAATCATACTTTAAGTGCTGGTATCGTGTGTGATTGCGGAATCCGATTACCTGAATCAAACTCATTGGAGTTCCGGGTTTTATGTTGAAAGTCGGGTGATGATCTACCTCCTGAAGAACCGATCACTCGAAATCTTTCAGTTATTTTCTTTGAAGTATCAATACGACGAGAGCTAAAAAGATGAATAGATGTGGGATACTGATCCGATAGAGGAACCAAAACAAGCTTTCTCCCTCTGATAGTGATGTCTGCCACTCTAATACACAGTCGGATATGTCAGATGCCGAGGACTCCCACTGAGTATCCAGGCACAGGTACTCACTCATGATGGTAAACACTGCCGTTGCTACGCTCTCATTCACCCGGTTCCTTTTCATCCTTAGCCTTTTCTATTTAGTTCTTTAATAACTTAACACCAGTCACCCTGTGCATGCTAATCAGTCGGCAACCAGTTGTTGTAACACCGAAAAAACAGGGTTTCACGACTAATAGCTAACCTTAATATTCGATTTACTCCACAACTTGAGTAATCCATTGCCAAGAGCTTAGAAATAACCATATACGAGTAACGCATTTGTCGACTAATGTGGCATTTTCAAATCTTTAGGTCTTCTGCCAATTTATTCAACGATATCTGTCTAGTCAACGGCCTCCATCAAGATGAGCGACTCTTTGACGAGTCGGCGCAACCGTCCTTTCAACCTGCACAAATCGGTACTGATCATATCTTTCCTAAATGGAGACTTTTTCAGCACTACCTGCCAAATTTGCACCGTGTAAGCCCCAGTTATCTCCGTTCCCGCTCAAAACGCAGACCGCTTACAAGGAGCCGACAAACGCAACGTAGTACAGCTCCTGTAGCTGAGAAAGAACCGAAAATCACAGCATGGCTACCTGGTGACGACTATTTACTTATTAATTCAGTAGTTATGGTATGTCCACCTTGTGCGTCTAACTAGGTGCTTCTTTTGGTATACACAAGCTAAGAAATTTGTTTGTTTTTGAGTAGACATGCAATCTCAGTGAAGTCTATCACACTGTTCGATTCGCCCACTTCTACACGGAAAAGGAAGTCGAGGCACGCTGGAGAGCTCTGCTGCTTGATCCTATAGCTTCAAGGTCAGTAGCTTAAAAGAGACCTTTGTCTCTTCAATTACTGTTATTCAGTACATGTTCATGGTTTCTTTTGTTAGCGATGCATTCCATACCCCGTTTTGTGCAGTTTTTTCGTGTAAATTTGTGAAGATATTTGTTATCTTTCCTACTTTCTGGACAAAGCGCACCAACTGGTCAGATTAGCTCTTAGGGCGTCTTGTCATTTACAGACATTTTGTAGGTTTGTCCACTGGTAAGTTCATATCCTATAGCCTGTTGAAAACAACTCAGCTAACCTTCGAAGTCTATCTCGTTCTGTGCCAGCTATTATTTACCGCCATTTCAAGATTCCAACAGTGAACAGCCACATCCACCCACCAAGAATTGTCCCTCTCCCCGCCTTATGTGATGCGTCTCCGAGTCTTTTGGCCCTGATTTCCATCTATCTATCTAACCATAGCAATTTAGAGAGAACAGACGTACTGTTTATTTTTCTTGCTGCTTGGCTTCACTTTCGACGTCCTAGATTTCAAAACAACTGTCATCTCAGGTCACCCCACATTTCCCTGTCGATTGTCCCTGTTAGTCGTGCCCCAGTCCCACATGATCAGAGATACATCTTGTCTGCTTCTCAAAACGGTTGCCTGTGCTCATCTGATCACGCTTTCTGTCTTCTTTTGGAGGATCGAATTCGTGCCGAACATTTCTCTTTGCCAGCTGCCTCGCAGTAATTTTGTTTCGATTTCCTGTGCACAATAATAATTTCTTTTCAAGATCTTTCGTGCAAGTGGTTCATTCATTTTGGTTTGTAGTCCAGTTGTCACGCCTACGGGTAGCCCACCTTCATTTTATTAGTGGGGCTGTCGTGAAAGCACCTTTCTACTGAGCCTTCTGATTTATATAACTTATTTATTTATTCCTATTAACTAGCTCTCAGTGGCGTCGACAGAATCGGTTACCGTATTTCGTGCATCTCTGTTAGAATATGAGCTGAAGGTCCTAGAGTGTTCAGCTCGTGGGAAACGTTATACACAAACCGTGGCACCACAAAAATCGTCATCACTGAAATTCGGAAATAGAAATTTCCCCAGTTGGTATCTTATATCTTCTATAAAGCTGCCTTTCAGAAAGTGCTCGTGTCACTTCAAATTAGTACTTACCACATCTCTTCAGTGCCCCAATAACTGGCCTCTGCAGTTTTTACGTATTTGTATTCTGGTTTCATCATAGGTATACCATTGGTGGTATCAATTTTCCAATTTACTTTGAATCGCAGGATGAAACATTTTCCTTTCAGCTAGCCCTACGGTTAAATCTATCTGATAATCCTGAGGTTAAATGAGGTGAATAAATTTATCCTTATAGGAGATGGTGCTCCTTAAGTACTAAGATTTACTTGTATCCTGTTGTTTGTGCTTTGCAGAACCGCTTTAGCAGCTATCAACAAAATATCCCCTGCATTAAAATCACAATTGGACCGTCAAATTCCATTCAGTTCTTTGGAAGACAATCTCCTGACTCAAATCAGCTTCTCGGATGTTTACACAGATCATGAAATGAAACCGCTGTTACTGGAGGATTTGGTAGGTTCATGTTCTATGTTAAAAGTATGTTTTCTTCCCGTTTCCGACTCGAATATTCCAACCCTCTACTTCATTCTTGGCGTAACATATCCACCTTTACTGCATACTTACCACAATGTGCATTAGAAGAATTTCAATGGATAAGATGCACGCTTAGGACAGCTACACGGTCGGTGGAGGGAGTCAAGGACCTAGAGTGCAAAGACGGTTCCGATACGATTAATATTGTCATGGTCATACGCATACGAAGTGGTAACCTTTTGCCAGATCCGTCCGTTTATCTGTTATCTGCTTTGTCTCCAGTTCACCGATGACAAACGGGTCAGCGTTCCAAGACACCTCCCGGGGAAACACCCCGTCCCCACCTGCAAATATATCTCAAGTAAATTGAGGGCAAAAATATTCTCCACCTAATGTAAAGTAACCACCTAGATAAAAAATATAACTAAAGCCAAACTACTCTGAAACGCTGAGGAACACTGCACAGCTTTTTGATCCTTGTCGAAAATTATCAGCAGTACTTATCTCAAGAAACTCCAGGCAGTCTCGAACCTGTGACCTCCCGGCCAGTAGCTTGACCATTCAACTCTTCGACCCCAAGCAGTATGGTTAAACCCAAATAGGGCAGGCTCCAGCGACCATCATAGAAGTCATCACTCGAAAAGCCTCCTGATAGACACACTAGTCCAACACAACGTCCGACTGATTGAGGGCTGGCTACTTCAAAAGCATTTTGGGTGACAGCACATTATAAAAGGACTAAATGCTTTGAGGTCATGATGACACTGCTGACGGATCTAAACAGCAAACGGAGCAAGGGCTCGGCTACCCACGCAGCTAGTCTGCTGGCGTTTTGTTCTACCTACGTACGTGTTTTCACACAGATGTTTGCAGATACCATGAGAGATAGGTAGAACAGACAGCCTATCCCTTGTTGGACGTAGTGATACGCTAGTTGTTTCGGTGGGGGATATTAAGAACGTGTGGGAACCGTTGCAGCATCTATGTAGTCCTGCGGGATCATCTATCCGTATTGAATCGAATAAGTGGAGGGATTTAACTTTAATCCTTACCCGCCATTTAGGCAACTGGTCAGGCAATCGGTGGTTTCCGTAGGTCTCAAGGTCTCACATTTGGGAAGTCGTTCATATTTCATTCATTCATCTTCTTGATACACTGTACTACTCGGTTCATTCATTTTCAGTTGACTCATGATGGACGTTTAAGCAAGCGAAAAAATGAGTCTTCAGATCCAGTATGCTTCTGACCTGGTATTGGGGGCCCTAGGTAGATTGAAGGCATTGGGTTTGGGGTCCACAGACTTCCTTCAGTACACTTGACTTAATTCCATCCACTGTTCATCTTGCAGCTTAGTGAACGTTTTGTGATATTGGTTCTTCAAGATTCATTCTGGGTGTATCAGCTTGACGTGTTCTCAATCCTCTGATGAAATCTGTATTTCTGCGCCTAGCCGTAAACTAAGTCAGTATCAATCAGGCACACCAATCACTTCGCTCAAGTGTGAACACGTTCGCTGTTCGGACGTGATAATTCAGATGCGTCCAGCGTGCGTTCGTGGTGGTGCGTTGGTTACACGCTCGCCTCGCATGTCAGATGTCCGGGGTTCAAATCCCGGCACGGCCATTGGATATGCACTGCTGATGAGCTCTAATAAGAGCGAAACTCGAGTCCAGTTCTTTCCTTTGGTGTGGACTCACCGGAATAATTACGCCAGAACAGGAATACGGCCGTTCAAATGAGAGTGGTGTGGATATGAACAAACATACCTATCCCGCAAAAAAACCCAACATTCCCTAGGAGTCATGAAGTGCCATGTGAAGGAAAATACTTCCATGTCTTGAGTGTCGTTCCAAGCGAAACACTGGGAGGATTTTGACCAGCGCACTCAGTTGAAAAGTGTCGTACTCGAAAGATTTAGTAGAATTTTTCTCCAGTTTCCCATCAGCGCCACGTCAATAGGAAAATGAGTGTTTAAGTCCACCTAGGGTTCCTATTCTTCGGAACCAGACCGCTTGTAATCTCTCACTGAATTTCGGGTTGGCGCACAAGACAGTCAGCTTCTGTAGGTGCCTGTGCGTTGTCGTGGTGGAAGAGAATAAGCACTATGTGTGTAGAAAATGGGTAGAAAATTCATAGGATTGTGATGCTGTGATCAGTGTTGGTAATCTGCTAACAGATGGATGCGGGTGGCGAAAACAGATTTCTTGCTTTACCCTTTCGACTATCGACTTCGTTCCTTTCAAAGGACTCCAACAGAAAGTTGGAGGAAATCTAGCTATCCCTCCCAGTGGAATTCCGGGTTAAAGTGCCAGAGCAATTTATTTGACATAGCGGTATTTTCCCCACGTGAAAGGTATTTCCACATGTTGGAGAAATATACTCTTTCGCCTGTCAATAAAAGTTTAAATCTGAACTACTTATATATTTAAGTAACACGGTCGTTTGATCTGATATAGATATTTCATTCACCCAGTGGGCCAGCCTCCGTACAAATAGGACCAGGTTGTAAAACCTGAGAGGGAAAAACGTGATGAGAAAATATCATGGCTCCTAATTTGTCGACAAGCCTAGTCGTGAGCACATACTATCTGCAGAGATTGGTACCATCTCACCACCCGACCCAGTTTATCAAATCTCCGTTTTCATTCACGAAATATCATCTTTCCAAACAGATCTGGTAACTGTACATTATGTTTCCAATAGGAATAGCTCTCCTTCCTAGCTCAACGCCATTTGCAACTTCAGCAGTTTATTTCATCCCCTTTCTGAATGCCGACTAACCATCCGGCCACTGATTTTTCACGCGTACATTTCTGCACAAGCACAATAACCTTTCGTTTTTATTAAGTCTTAGAATATTCATGGAAATGAACTCCCTTTCGAAATTTGAGGGTCATGTCAGGGATATACTCTTACAAGCTCCTTTGTGTGGGGCGAAATAATTGTGCGTTCGCACAGAGCCGCTGTTCTCAAGATAAACGTAACTAATTGCATGACCTCTTTCACCGTGCAAGTGACACTCGTACGTGAATCAAAGTCCGGAGCCACTCTTCTTCACCAGTTAGAGTGTAGACGGAAGGTTAGTAGAAACCTACAACAGGACTTTGGAATTACCCCGAATGCAGACTCAGAGTTTGCCGCGCGGATCATTGGTGGCACCAGAAGTGAGCAACATCGACTCACTTTATGGGAATTTTGGATTTCTGCATGACGTAAAGTCAGTGCACTCAGTTATCATCGGCTGATTGCAGCATCAGTTGTAACAATCTTGGTTTTTATGATTCAAGGTCTTTATGGCTTGGTGTGATTCGCTGTGTTAGTGCGCCATACATTTGCGATACGACCTTAACTGACAAAGTGAATTTAAGTGACAGGACGAGAAGGCACACAGGAACCAGGATTGGGAAGATCGGTTGAAGTACATGGTGGAGTTGCCCTTGTGTGCTACACTACCCGTGACAGAACGTACAGGTTATGTGGCTTGTCCAATCCACAGAAGGCGGTCAGTGAAATTGGCACAATCTTAACGACCAGATATGTGTTTAAGTCGTTTAGGATTGCGCAGTCACTTTCATATTCATCACCATGGTGAAGCATCAATGCGCCTTTTGGCAATTGGCGTGTATGAAAGCTCATTCTAAAAGTGTATGGGCTATTTGGGATCATAAACTTAGCTTGTCCAACTCTAAGCTCTCTGCAGTGAACAAGGACGTCTGGGGTAATCTCCAACCTATACGTAAACTAAACTTGGCTAACATACCAACTAAACTCGAGTTCTTGATCTCACGTCGGTGGATCACTTCCGAACTTCAGTCGGGAGACTAGTACAAAGAATTTGAGATCCTGGATTCCTGTCCCAAATCCCTCCAACCCATCAATAAGGTGGCTGTGTTCTGCCGATAGTCTGGGTGACTTATGAAGGTCGAACGTGCATCTGATCTGGTCGTATGCTTCGAATTTCCTAAAGGGAAGTTTCTGTTCACAAGAGTACTTGAGTTTGAGAATTTCCGGGATTGACGAAAACTCAGTTTACTCGCATACTGCCACTCGTGTGATCTGTAGTAGAAACATATTCCGGACCATAATCCCCTTAATTCACTTGAGAATGACCCTATCTATACGACTTCTTGTCGCTCGTTCTACCCTAATCACTCACTAGATCCAGTCTTATCCGAATTTCTCCACTACTTCCCATTATATAGCGAAATTCGGTCTTCTCCAAGCTTCTGCGTGAGCATCCTTCTGTCTTCTACTGTGGTCGTGACGAGTTTGACTTATTTCGTCAGTGGAGTCGTCTGAAAAGCTGTCATGTCATCAGAGACTCTGCGAAAACACCTCGGTCTACTCCGCCGGACGATAGCAGCCTTAAAGGAAGCAGCGAGACTTCAAACCACGACAAGAAACCTGTGACCTCTAATACGGATAGTTTGCCGTGTGGGAACAGCTTCTCGAACACTCCACTCGGTGGGGATCCCACGAGCTTTTCTGACACAGAGCTTCTGCTGGAAGAGACAGTGCATACAGCTCTTGCATCAGGCCTGGACAAGCTCAGCGAGACCTCTACTGCAGCTAGAAGAAGGCACATGCTTGGTCAATCGTCCTACCATGGCTTCCAGGCTCTAGTCACGGAAAACGTCCTTGCTGCACTCACCAAAGAAAGTAGGGAGTCTGACGGTCAGTCGTCTAGCGCTTCAACACATCCATCTCGAGGATCGACCTCCCCCTTTCTTCCGGAGGTTCGACCCCAGAATTCGGTGGCCAGACCGCCCCACCGTAACGGTGCTTTCTCAACATCTCACGGTACGTTTCCGCGAGATCATCCGTATACGGCCTACCGAAACCAAAGCGCCGCGAAATCTATCGCTTCCTGTGCAGATTTTGAGCTTCAGGTGAGGATTACTTGCAGTGTTGTGCTGTTTCCAGGCATCGTGTCTTCACTGCTAGTTCTAAATCACAGTCGGTTACATAATTTTTGTGGCGCGCATTTTTGGGACCAGGAGAGAACCGACTTCCCAAACTTGTGTATAGAGTGTGCGTACACACATCGTTTGTAGTCGATAAAGCGGGCCTTCTCAGTGGCCATTTTCTCGATAAATTTTGTGTGCATACCAGTTGTCGAATAGAGGATGTAATGCTGAGGTTTTTTTTCCAAAGCCGGTTCCAAATACAAACTCTAATTCCCACCCTTTGTGGATACCATTGAAGTTTACCAGCCAAAATATCATTCCTTGAGGAATGGTCTTTTTTGGAGATGGTTTTCAGTGGTAGTATGATTGAAAATGTGTGGAAGACAGACGTGCATTGAATTTGTACGATATGTGTCTAATTTTAAAGCCGAAAGTGCGTGCGTGGTTATCACTTATCACAAGCGACAACTCGAAGGCCTTCTGCGTGACCTCCCGTTACTTGTTATCGGCCTGCTTTTGAGCTCAAATGTCAATATTAAGTTGTTTCTCTACCCATGCGACCTGTTGTTTATGAGGACACCCAGGCCCGATGGTGCTCATGTTTGCCACAAAGGTTTGTTTCACTCGTTGGGACGCCCGACATTGATGGTTTTTTGTACTGAAAACGATAACTTGGAAGGATCGGAGCAAGAAATGATCTGAGGCATAACCGTTGATCCTTTTCCGTCGCTTGCTACATCGATCCTTTCTTCTATGTGAAGATGAATTTATTCGAAACACAGCACTCTCTAGCTACACAGCCTATTTTATTACTATGAGTTTGTGGGGGAGTACAGCCACTCCAGACAGTGAAAATTTTTGGGATCCAATCGATGCCTTAAATGAAATATCTCTTTTTCACTGCAACTTCGAGGGCTTGAGGTTGAAGGTGTCTGTAAGGGCACGCAAAACTTGTTTTTTATCAGTTTCAGTTCCGTAATGCTCTAAATGATTTTTATGTATTGTGAGTCGAGTGAATTAGGTCCGCGCTTCCGTAGATGTTGAACGCGAAGATGGGAGATCCTGATGATTTCCTACTTGTTTTTTTCAAAGCAAGAGTCATTTTAATACACCGAATTATGCTAGATGTTTTTGTCTGACGCCGAATAAAATGTTCATTTTTGACATTCCCCCATACCACATCGGGGACTTACGAGCGATATGACGCTACCAAGTTATGTTGCAATGCCAATGAGGGATTAAAACTGCGGCCTTTGCTGTCAGAAGAGAGACCGGATTAGCTACCCGTCTGCTTAGTTACGAGGACATATTTTGGCGAAGTGGTAACTGCTGTCTAGTAGCTTAGCGCCTTTTCTCACTGAAGTTATAGTCTCAATATGTGTTGCACTGTGTATCAACAACGGTACTTACCGCGTTTTCAGCCTTGTTTACATCTTGTTTGGAATAACTCCGTCTGGGTCAAACTGATATCGAATTATCGCTGTTCCCTGCGTTATGGGCTATGGTTCAATATATATA